TGATTCTAGTAATTTTCTCCCCATTTTCCTGTTATCATTATCTTTCCAAATGCAACTAGCAATCTACCATACAGTCACACAGTAACTAGCAATCTGCTGTGAAGATTCCTACCTTGTTGCCCTGTGATGTTTATGTGCTGAGTGTTCTATTGAAATTACTTAACTGCTAGAACCTACTAGAATTGCAAATCAATTATTCACTAAGTTCTTCTGGGTCAGTAACAACAACAGAAGAAGGGTTGAAAATATCCTTCTAGCTTAAACAGATACACAGATGGCCCTACTTGGACATACAATTAGCAAGCAGTTAAAGGCTTTAACTTAAAAATAGAAAACATAAAACTAAACCTAAGTTGAATGCAAGACAAAGATGCAGAGATACTTAATGTGTAGTTGGCTCTTTGTCTAATATCACCAGCGGAGATTAACAGGAAAATAATATGCACGGCCATAAAATAGCAAGCTTTAACTAGTAACAATATAGCTGAAAGGCAGAACACGCTGTGTCTGAAATAGCTCAGACCTCAGCTTAAATAGTAGCTCCTACTCTATTTTGCAAAAACCGTGAACTGAAAACTCATTCTGATAGAAAAGCCCAAGTAGGAAAATGAGGGAATAAAGGAAAGACTGGTTTCCAAACAAAAACTTAACAATTAAGAAAGTAAAATAAAACCCCACAACGTTACTTTACATAAAGTTGTTACATCACATGACTTTGCATTTTGGTGTATCTTTGTTGCTGCTTATCTCTTCATATCGCAAAATATCATTTGTACTCCATGGCATTTTTCGTTTGGAAAATTTGTTCATGATCCAAGGTTCCACTATTCTAATTATTATGCAGTGTCTATTCCTGTGGTATTCCCAGAATGTTGATAAAATGAAGCTTTCTAGAAAGTATCTATTAGTCTGGTATGCAGAATGTGTTTAGTATAAGGTAACCGAAAAGTTCTTGCCGTTTTGGACAGTCAGGAAGAAAAAATCATAAAACAAATTATAATCACCACTAATCTTCAAAGTAATCACCATCGGCATCCAGTGTCTTTTGCCACTAAGGGGCTAGCTGTTTGATACCATCGTGGTAAAACTCAGAAGTCTTGGATGCAAAGAAGGCCGTGATGGCCTTTTTGTGGTATGGTCGGTTGTTAAAGGATTTCTCACGAAGATGGTTGTCCAGGGAATGGAAAAATTGGTAGTCTCTTGGCATGAGGTCTGGGGAGTATGGTGGGGTAGTGTCTCCTAGCCCATTTGCTGGATGGTGTCCGAGACCTCCCAAGCCACATGCGGCATCGCATTGTCATGGAGGAGTAACCTTCACGACTGACAAATGCTGGCTCTTTATGCATCATTGCCTGATGCACACATTCCAACTGCTGAGAGTATAGGCCTGCCGTGATGGTTTGTTCGACTGGCAGGAGCTCAAAGTGCACCACTTGGCGACAAGTCCACCAGATACAAAGCATGATCTTGTGTGAGTGGAAAGGTCTCACAGCGTGAGGCACAGGGTCCCGTGGTGACGGCCAATGTCTGGAACAAATGTGTCATACTGGACCCACTTTTTATTGCTGGTGAGTACTCGATTAAATATGGATGCATTGACACGCTGTTGGTTGTTTGCATCAGACAGTGAGTGGTATACCCACTTGCTCAGCTTGTATGCCCTTCCTGTGCAGTGCAAATGGAGTATGATTGTTTCATCATATACATGAAAGTGTGGAGCAAGCTCACCACATGTTTGGCTACTGTCACTCTCTATGGCTCCATCACATAGATGAAAATTATTTTGCTTGATAAACTCGTTTTTTCCTCCTCCCTCTACATTGAAGATGTATTGATGGCAGTATCTTGAATAGAGATATCAGAACTAAAAATATAAATTGGTCAAACCATTACTTTTGTATCACCCTCCGAGTGACACGACTTACTTGCTTATTTAAAACTTTCTATTAGCTGAATTTTTATAATTACTTATACTAGTCTTATTATAAACTTCGATTTATCAAGATGATATCTATATTATTAAAGAAAGAAAGCAAAATATTTAAAAGTCTATATATACCATATGAGAAAAAAATCTCATGAGTGGGTAAAGGCGGTCATGCGACTTGGGGGTTAATGCTCAGCAACTGAAGTAACTGTTTCTGTGGTCAGTGCCAAACTTATCTTGAAGCTTATCGTAGCTTCCAATCTCAGATAACACAGAAATGCATTTTCTTGTAAATGGTTCAATTTGTGATTTTGCTTAAATTATTACTAACAGGTATATATATATTTTTCCTTTTTAAAGAAAAGATGTTATCAATTAGTTATGGATCAGCATATTGTATAATATGCTCTTTTATATGGATCTAGAATTTGTATTTTAGGTGTGGAGGAGGGACTTCATGATAACATAGTGTTTAATTTTCTGAGTAGATAACTACTTTCATCCTATCGTGATTTTTTTTTTTTTTTTTTGTCGCTTAGTATATGTTAACTCGTAATTTAAAATATTTTGTTTTGCTTCCTTTAATGATGCAAATATCATCTTGTAGAAACATTAGGTATTTTGGGAAACAGGAAAGATGAAAAATGAGTAATGTCCTCTTCAGGACTCGAACCACGGATCTCTTGAATTCGCATTGAGCATACTGATCACTATACCACGAAGGCATGCTAAGAAGGCAGGAAAATACGTTATATACTCCCCCTTTACCCTTTTAAAGGGTGACTGGGGTCTTAGGGGACCCTATCGACAAATTGTTGTGAAGAATCATAATTCACCACCTTTTTAGTTTGGGTGCCACCGTAGAGACAGGATTTTTGAAGCAGGAGAAATGAAAAATGAGCAATGCTTTTCCTGGGACTTGAACCATGGGCCTGTCGAATACACAGCGAGCGTGCTGACCACTATACTACGCAGGCATGCTAAGAAGGTGGGAGAAATACCTTATAATATTAATGAGCAAAGTTTATGAAGACAAGGTAATTATGTAAATTTTCCTCATAGAAACTGTTTAAATAGAGGTGGTCTTGATTAGATCCAAAAAACTGTGCATCCTGATTGTTAAATTAACTGGATCTTTAATTTAGGTGTCTCATTTGTAACTTTCTGAATGAACACATAATGTAAGTCCTTTTTCATCAAATAATAAAATTTAAGAAAAGTATCATTGCATAATATTATTGTTTAATAAATGAAACCCAACTTTATTGTTGTAAACTGATGCTGAAATTTATGTAAATTTTTAATCTACACTCATGTACATAAATTAAGGATAATTCGGAGTCACGCGGAAATCGAACTCTAAACTAAATATATCACCTGTAAAATCACTACACACATCTTCAAGAATCATATGCAAATTTCAGGAAGTAACCAGATGACACCGATGGTACGTCACAATGACGAGAGTGTAAGAGAGTGATATATAAGGAATACAGGCAAAGAAGTAAAATTGTTCGCAGGCGCTTTATAAGCATTTCAGTGCAATAACTGAATAGTTATGACACAAAGAACGCATTTGGCTGATTTTTTACTTGGTAGAATTTTTGGCCGTCTGGAATGTGGGCGTACCCAACTGGAAGTATCAGACGAACTTGGAATTGCCCAAAGTGTCATCTCCAGGCTTTGGCAATGATTCCAAGATGATGGTAATGTGAGTAGACGTTACAGCACAGGTCGCTCCAGAGTTACCACGCCGAATGAGGACCGGTATTTGGCAGTTACTGCCAAAAGAAACAGGCGGAGCACAGCCTCAGACCTGTCTTGTCAGCTCTCTTCAGCCACTGGTACGACAACTTTCAAGGCAGACCGTGTACAGACGCTTAGGGCAGATTGGTTATATGTTCGTAGACCTGTCAGATGCGTTCCACTTACTGCAACTCACTGTCGCCTGCGGTTAGCCTGGAGTAGAGAGCATGCACTGTGGACACCGCAACAGTTGGGCTTGTGTGATGTTTTCCGACGAGTCCAGGTTTAGCTTGCAGTCTGATTCTCGCCGGACTTTCATATGGAGAGCTCCAGGTACCCGTTACCACCAAGAAAAACATCATTGAACGACACCGTTACGGTGGTGTAGGAGTGCTCGTTTTGGGGTGGAATTATTCTGGGTTCCAGAACTGACCTCATGTTCAAATTGGAATCATGACAAGCCAAATCTATCGGGACGTCATTCTGGAACAACATGTACATTTGTTTCGGGGTGCACCATGGGCACACAATTTTTGTTTATGGATGACAACACCCAGTCCTCACCGTGCAAAACATCGTAAGCGAATGCCTTCAATCGGAGGATATCACCCGTATGGACTGGCCAGCATTCTCACCAGACTTGAACCTAGTAGAGCACGTGTGGGACATGCTTGGCCGACGAGTTGCAGCCCGTCAACCTCCTTCCTACATGTCTACCGGAACTTCGGAGTGCATTGCTTTTTGAGTGGTGTAATATCCCCCAAGATCAGATCGATAATTTGATACTCAGATGCCTAGGCGTTGTACGGACTGTATTGCATCGTCTGGGAGACATACAATGTATTAACAATCAATACCAACCATGTAATATTGGTTTTTTTGTAAATAAGGTTTTTTTTTTTTTTTTTTTTTTTTTTTTTTTTTTTTTTTTTGTAATTTGCTCCAGGGAGAAAAAATTTTTTTAACAATATCAAACATATAGCATCTTTTTTGCTCTTTACTTTTTGTTTAATAAATAAGCTTTACAAATAAGTCAAATTTGTTTTGCTTCTAACTCTTCCTTTGCCTGATTTTGCATTATCCTTAATTTATGGACATGAGTGTAGATTGAGTGTTTAAAATACCTTTGCTTTTCATACATGGCATTGTACCGTGTGTGTTAAAAATGCCTGATTGTAAAAGTAGCATAAATTATTCATATTCAGAAAGAAGTCATTACTATTATTTATTTCTTTTCTTTTTTTTTTTTTTTTTTTTGTGAATTACTTTTAGAATAATAATATTTTTTGTGAATTGCTTTCTAGTTATAATATTCTTATATTTCTAGAAGTAACTGTAGTGTGAAACAGATTGATTTTTATAATTGTGTCATGGAGGTGCTAAATGCTGATAGATTAGCAAAAATGGTATGTGCCGGACATTTCAATGAGGCAGTTAAAAAGAAGTTAGCCACTGATAATTCTGCAGCAGCACTTAGGCAAATATTTGGTCAAATGCATTGGGTTTGTATATATATATATTTTTAAATATTATATTTATGAAATAGATATATAAGTAATAAATCTGCTGTGCTTTCTTAGGCATATTTTATTTGCTTCAGTTATATTTTAAGAATCTTTTCTCTTATGCTCTTTTATGTGTAATATTTTTTGAAATCATTCAGCTAAACATTTGAATACTTATAAAATTAGGCTAAAAAGGGCTGCCTTAGCTTGATGTAAGTTTTATGTAAAACTTTTGCTTTTGAAGGAAACTGATAAAGATCCAGATCCCTCTCATCTTCAGGGGCCACTATTCTTCCTCCTCCCCATTATTTTTTATTTAAAAAAAAACTGGGGGGGGAGGTCAGAAGATATATTTATATTGGGTAATAATGTTATTTATAATTTATCAGATTCCTAATTAAAAAAGGACAGTATCAGTGTATATGACAGCTACCAGTATGCATTGCCGTTTCCTTCAAAATCAGTCTGCTCAAATGTGTTTCTATTTATCATTCTTGCAGAAACTATATTCATAATTATAATCATTAAATTTGTTTTGGGCTTTGTGTACCATTTCTAATTTTATTTGTGACTGAAATCAGGATGAGGTTTTGGGTTTCTGGAAGTTTTCGCAATATTTTGTCTAATATTCAATTCAATAAACATTTGATTATCAGTATATCCAGCATACTTAGTTTTATTTCATCAATTCATTTAGTTTATTTCAGTGCATTTAGTTTTATTTAATTTTCCATTTCCATTTATTCATAATTTCAAATCAATGCAAATAAAGAAATGGGTGATTGAAGAAGTATATGCATGGAACAGCTAGTTTGTCGAAGGCATCATATTAATGCTAACAGCAGTGTGAACGTGGGAGCTTTGAAAGACAGGATTTGTAATGCTCTTATATAACTTTATTTTACCTTTTGATTGAAGTAATGAGGTTGTCTAGGAATAAACGTTGTATTTTCCCCCAAAACTGAGAAAAATTTAATTTCTGGAAAAAAGTTGTGTTGAAAATGAAACCATTTAGAGTAAAACTGAATAAGAGGGAATATATGTAGTTATAAGTGCTAGGTCTGAATATATAGTATTTAAAACTTATAAATGTTTTTGATGTGCTTTCATGAATTATTAGTGATTTTTTTTCAGTACAGAACTCTTAAGCATTTTAATTCATTTATTATATACATGTAAAAGAGTCATTAACATTGTTTTTACTATGTTTTACACATTTATAAACTATAGTTTTCAAATGCTTCTAATATGTATGTACCTAATCTAATTTTTACACATCCAAGAAGGTACTTTTTAATTATTTAGGGTATAACAGAATTAAAATTTTGTCATTTTTTGGGGGTCCAACAGCTGGACATAGGTTTGAAAGGCATTCATTAGAAATGGCTGAACTCACTGATGATTTACTGAGAATGTTGCCCATAATGCACCACAAGGATTATTAGACTTGTATAGCATTTGCAAGAAAGGCTTAAGGACACACTCATATAACTAGCCATTACATGGGAATCAAATGCGTACTCTTGATTTTAGGAAAGCAGTCAGCCTCTGCTAACCAGTATACTGTTGAAATTATCATACAGGGTTGCCCCACTACCTGGAAATTGGGAAAAGTCAGGATAATTCATTTTCCTGTTTGAATGGCAGCCTCGATTATAGTAGTTGTGTTAATTTTGAAAATAGTTCTTATAAATTAAACAATTATTCTAACAAAAATTAAATTATGTGTACTAAAATTAAAGAAAAGATAAAAATGTGCAGTGTACAGTTTTCAGGATAAATTTTTGTTCTTATAATTAATGTTTCATTTAAAAATGTATTTTTTAAATGTTCTATCTGATGGTGCTTTCTGTGGACTAAGTTTGTATGTAATTTCCAAAATAGTGCATTTTTAATAGTTAACATTCACTGTAGAGAATTCAAGTTGTTGATGTAAGCAACTTACACGTGTAAAAAAGACACATTAAAAGTTTTCATTTATAGTAAGCCCTTGTCTTTGGTTACTGAACTAAGAAACTGGAATTGCAATTGGAGAAAAAATGTAGAAATTGTGACTTATTTTTAAACAGACCTTGTAAAAGTTTGAAAGAATGAGTTGAGAACATTAGGGCGAATTTATTGATTTCTTTGAATGCGCTAGCGCACTACTGATTGGTTTTCTGGAGTTCTTGATTAAGTCTAGTCTCTCCATATTTTTGTAGTTTTCTTACTATATTATCTGAGTAGTCCATTTAGATTGTTTGTGTTCTTTGCCTTTGTTGCATTTTTTCAACAATGTCTTCTCACTATTTAAACCCAAGATTCTGCCTAAGGAATGAAATTAAACAATAGTATTACATTATAACATGCATAAGTAATCCTGGAATTAAAACTTAATCAAAGATTCATCAAAATAAGTTTAGCTCCTATAGTATTTCCACACACAGATTGTATTATTTTCGAAGCCTTGCACTAGAGGCATTGTGCCACGCAATATTTTAGGGGGGGGGAACAATTGCACGAGAAGGAATGACAGCTTGTATCGACTGAAGCACAATTTTCACAAGCTCTACTCTAAAAATCAAATTAAAAAACATTTGCTTTGTAACCATTTATACAATGTTCGGACTCTTCAAATCACAGAGACTTAAAGTTATTTCTGATCGCCTTTAAATATTTTGATAACAAAGAACATGTTCAAGTTTAAAATTCTAGATTTAATTACTCTTCTTGGAAAAACATTGGAAATAATCATGTCCATTATCGATACATTAGATTCAAACAGCTTGACAAATATGCAGAAATTACCAATTCAAACTTTTTAGGTATTAATAGAAAAATAACAAATAATTTATTTTCCTGATTGAATATAACAAATTAAATCACCAAGAGTGTATTGGAGCAGGCTGCACAGTACACATGATCAACAGTGCAGTTTAAACTGCATCAGATTTGTATCCTGTAGATATTGTAATTGGCAATGCCTCTAGTGCAAGGTTACGAAATTGTTACACTTTTATATCTGCATCGTTTGAATAGAATATCTGAGGGAATTTTGTGATGACCTGGAGGCAGAATGTAAGTGATTATTAGGATACCCAAAACATGATTGCTAGCTGTACTGCCTACAGTTGAAGAGTGTTACAGTTGTTAAACCATTCAACACTAGCATTTCGGCATTATCCGTATACCTATAACTATGATCAACAGTCACTTTGACCGCTTGCTACGAATAGAAGAAAAGGCTCATTCTTTGCTAATAATATGTAAAGTTAATGCTTATACATTCTGTTTGTTTAATAAGTAAAATAAAGTAAATTGAGTAAGTACATGCAACCAGAAGAAAATGTAACAAAGAGCAAAATAAAATGAGTAAACATATTAATTGAAGGATAATTTAACAAAGAGCTAAAAGAAACAAAAATCACTAGATATTTTAGAATTTCTTATGTAATAAATTGACTTATAAAAATTTTCAATGTGAAATAAATATTTTAAGGATTACACATATTAGTACTTACATTACTGGGTTTTGCAGTGCATACAGATTACCGATTTTTTAATTTTACCTGTACAGGTTCCAGAAGCAAAGTTCTGTTACCTCTGCATGCATTTATTTAACATTGTTTAAGCTTACTGTAAGCTTGTAAATTTTGCATGAAATGTACATCTTTCAAAGCTCCTCAGCCATATTCAAAATAAATCACGATTGATGTTCTTATATTCAGTTGTTTCCTTGTAAATTTTCGATGCACTTATCATAGCCAAATCAAGAATATTTTTAAAAAAATTTGAACTGGCCACCGTCTAGATGAGGACTTCACTGAGTACTTTATGGTCATCTGGTCAAAAACAAAAACTCCATATTTGGTCAGATTGTAAAAATTCACAACTTCTGGTGCCTTGTTTTCATCATATGTGATTTCCAATGTTGGGTGCATGGTATTCTTGAGCATGACCTTTTTTTCCTTGATAAAACGTAATCATTATGTTGTCATGCATAGCAGTCTTACGAGACGAGAGCTCATCTCTCGTATTTTTTGAAAGAATAAGGTACTTCACTTTTTGACAGATTTATTTTGCCAATGCAACTTATCCCAGAAGTGTCCATTGTCAACATTACGTGTATGCACTACTTGAGTTACCATCAATTATTTTTCTCCTTGCATACGAAGTTGGCCCAGCTACTTCTTGTAAGACATTCTGCTAAGCGTGTCTCCCTGTAACACTTATCGAAATATTTCCTATTTTCCAAACTGAACCATCATTCACTGTTTCTTCATCGTTTTGAATTTCCTTTGGACACACACTTTGTTCTTGAGTTCCTTTTTATTTTTCACTGCTTTCTCGAGCTTAACTACTGCTGCTGATTTCACTTCCAGAAACCATCTAGTAGAAGGTAATGTAATATTTTCTTGGTATAAACTTTTACTTTTCTGTTTTGTGAACAGATTCTCCATCAGACGAATCGGATTCAGTAGTTTCAATAGGTACAAACCAGTCCTCGTGGAATAAATTGGGTATAGTTTCATAAAAAATTCTTCATCAGGTTCAGTTTCTAAAGCAGAATTATCATCAGAAAGGCTTTTAAAAACTTTCAACATCTCTTCTTTCATTAGATATTTTCTACCAGAGCGTCTACTATGCAACATGATAAACAGGTCAGAACAGCAAAGCAATCCAAAATGAAGTAAAGTACATGTGTGTCTACTGAAAACTAACCTTTCTAACACAAGAGTAAAGGGCAGACACATGGCATGCAAAAATTCCAAGCAGGTGCTTTTATTCCCCCCTCCCCATTCACTTCTGTGAAATATGCAATCTTCCTTACTTCATACCATCAGGATAATTTCATAGGTTGTAGACTATTCCAGCTTTTGATAACTGTCCTTATATGAATTTCTTGGGAATTTGATTTATTTTAGCATTTGAAAGAGAAGAAATACTTCTTGCTGCTGTTGTCTTATATCAGAACAAATATTTTTAACCTGCTTTAATTGATTCATAATAGTATTAGC